AAAAATCTGAGCAAACACTGAAAATCAATAAAAATTCAAATTTCGCGCGCTTTTACCAGCAGTTGGCCTAGAAAACTCACACCTGGCCGCTAGGCCACCGGTTCCCACTTTGACTCTTCGATGCCGTTTTTCTCAATGAAGGAATTTTTTTTGAATTTTTTCTTTATTTTTATGGGAATCTAAATGAATTTCTGCACAAAATAAAGCAATAAACTTTTTCACCGCCCACCACCTTTAAAGGTTCATTCGTTATTACCGCGTTGCCTCCAACAGAAGCCCACCCAAACAACCCAATTTCGAATCTATTCATCTCGGTGGCAGAATTAAAGAAACATTTGGGGTTTTTAACATCTAAACCTTTATCACATTTTCAGTTGAGTCCTGTTGAAATCCTTGGTCCAATGTTCAAAAACTTTGGAGCTATGGATGTTGACAATCTTCTTGCCCCGAAGACCCCAGAGCCAGTTCAACAGGTCGCAGCAGCTGAGCAAATGATGGAAAGTCCAGAAACTACATGTGATTTTGAAGGAGAGAACCGAAAAGCTGGTGATGTGTAAGACTCTATATAAATTCGACCAATTCTTTATTTGTCGATTTCAGTTGGGTATCCGATGGAATCTTCACCAAAAAGTGTACTGATGACGGGGCAACTGTGATCTTGAACTGTATTGTTGATGACAAGACAATTATCAATGTGGATACTGAACTGACACTTGGAAAAAAGACGTACAAGTGCTATCGGAAGAAGACTGAGAATAGAGTCTACTATGAAGTTAGAATCAACTAGAAACCTCTTCTATTTTCGCATCGTTTCCCACGGGTTCCTAGATCCCCCATTTCACACTGCTCTTGTCACGATTAGATTTTCTATATTTTCTCTGGAAAGAATAAATATTTTCTCTCACAATCTGTTGACCTATTCGGATTTTTGAAGTTTTGAATTTTTTTCAATTGTGGAAATGGGAATTCTATACTAGATTGAAGAACCTGGAAAGAAAGGTCTTGAGAGCCTGAGATATTCTAGTAGGCAATCAAAACAGAATTATACAAAGTAGACGTCCGAAAAGCATTTGTAGATAGACAAATGAGCATCAAGTTTGGATTTCAATGTTTTTTTCCGGATGTAGATTCACAAAACAAATGAAGAAAAACGTTTTTTAAAAAAACCCAAAGTGAGAAAAACCGCATAAAAAACGAAGTGGTATCCGGTGAAAGGCGACCGAGGGTTGAGTTTTTTAGTCTCCAGTTTTGAATTTTTCCAGGTTTCTTTTTTTTGACGTGCCGTATTTTTATGGAATTGTTCGATTTTTCAGTTTTCAAATATGGTTTATGAAGTTTCTGAAAATGTCAGAAAAAAGTTGAAGTTTTCAAGGAAAACTGGTTGGGAATCGAAAAAAAGTCATGAAACGTTCAAACACTGAACTTCTGTGAATCTAGATATGTACAGTAAATCCTATGATAGAAGTGTCTCCACACTGTCAAGTTTGAGCTTTAATATCTCGGCTTTTTTGCAAGATATGAAGAATGTGTCAACTGACAACATTTTTGTGATATTATGATAAACAATTTATCAGTTGACAATATTTTATATCTTTCACAGGAACCGAGAAAGATTGGCTCAAAGTTGAAGTAAGAGAACCTTTTTATTAAAGGTTTTACGGTAGTTTTTTGTTTGAATTGAAGCAATAAAACAATTCACCGCAAACCACATTCAACCTATTCTTAGAAAATGCACGGAAGTTAATTCAATTTAGACATTTCCATCCCAATTCTGCGTCACAATGTCTTCTCACCTCCAAACAGCTGAAAATAAAATCAATTCTTTAGAATTTTTATTCTTTCTTATTCCGGAGTTCTCATATCTTCGACATTTTTTGTTTTCAGTGCTTTGGTAGAGCAGTCTATTATCACTTTTTATTTCCATTCGTATAACTCAATTCCAAAAGTTCCCCTTTCGCGTAAATATTTTTTCGAAGAAGTTCTCAACTACAAGCGATTAGCTATATTAAATTTCCTACCTAGTCTACCTGATTACATTTCATTCCTTCTTGACACTTTTTCTCCCGAAAATATAATACGAAAAGCTTTTTCAGTTGATCTTTTTGATTTTTTGGTTTTTTGACAACATCTTAATTTTTTGAAATTCTGAGATTCTTCTAATTAGTTCAATGCGAATTTGAAAAGCCGTTCTTGTGGAAAGCTCGTAATTTTTTATAACTTTCTGCTTCCAGTTTTAAATACCAATGTGGTATTAGAAATTTTCAGTGATATCACATCTGACCTATTTTTCAGTTTTCAACAACGAAAAATTCCAAAATAACAGCTCTCTCCCACAATAATAATACGATTCTACATTCAGCTGGAGTATATCTTCTAGCTATACACATTTTCCAAAGTTCATGCTGAGAGCATACACAATGTCCAAAGTGTATGCTCTCCGCTAGAAGTAAAAATATTTTTTCATAAGGATGTTTTGACATTTTATTTCATTTACTTGATTGTAGGGGCAATAGCTAGGAGGTGTACAAAGAGTGTACAAATTGGCACATAGCCAGTAGTTGATTAGAATTTTTCTGAAGAAGTTTCTTGAAGTTGTGTAGCTCATGTGAGAAGTTATCTGAGCAAGTTCGTTGAAATGTCGTTATTTTCTGTCTAACGCTTTTTTTTCGGAATTGGGACTTCTGCATATTTCAAAAAACTATATTAATTTGAATCTAGTGATCTTGGTGGGAAAATTCATTACATCATTTTGGCATGTAAGGAAAACAAAACATAGTTTTGTAGATTCGTGTCAGACAGTTTACTTTTTCTCTATTCATCGGAGTAGATTGGATTCCGGAGAGCTGTAACCGGATCCAGGTCAGCGGCTCAGGGTCACCCAGATCCTGGTCACCCGGATCCAGGTCACTCGGATCCAGGGTCACTTTCTCTAGAGCTCAGAGAAGGTGAGAACTAATTCTAACTTTCATTTTCCTATTCTTTTATATTACTTTCCCAGAGGTCAATGGTTTCTAAACCAATTCACGTTGTCGTTTTTGTCTAATTGTAAATTTCTTTCGAAGCATTTTTTTTCTTTCGAAGCATACCACGGGGTTTCTTTTTGAATTTTTTTTTCATCACGTTTAAATAAACTTGAATTTTTACTTTGAAATCTGTGAAACTCCTTAAAGAAGGCCAGACACCAAAAAAAAAGTTTTCCTGATATTTTGCGTAGAGAACCCCCATGAGGGGTTGAACTCATGACAAGCAGCTCAGGGGTACAGAGCTGCTACCGGCTGAGCTACGGGGGCGCGAAGGCGCCTGACGACCGATGGTCTACATAAGCGCGATTTCGTCCCCCGAACTGTCCCCCGAAATTTTTGCTGTCTCGCCTCCTTTCAAAAGATCGCTCCTTTGAACCTAATTATCTCGTTTCCTGTTTGAGATATTAAAACATTGTCAACTGATGGAATGTTTCTGATATCAAGAAAAACTTTTTCGTTTTTAAAACTTCTGAATATCTGTTACAGGAACCGATTTATATTTGGCCAAAATTACCAAACTATGGTTGTCATTTGTTGTCGGTTTACGCCCATCCGGGTTTGAACCTTCTGGGCTTTAGAGTGGGGGGGGGGGGGATACACATAAGCCATCTGGTTGCAGCGCCTCAAGACGCGCCTAGCGTTTTATATATAAGGAAGATAACATCACCAATATTTTATCAGTTGACAGATTTTTGATATCTCTTATAGGAACCGAGATAAGTTATAACTGAGCTCAAAGTGCACGTATAGGGTAGGCGTCTATTAGAGCAAGTACGGTAAGCAGCGGATGGACATTCACAAGTGCTTCTTAATCTGTTATCCGAATTCCAATTTTGTTTCTATTGATTTATTGAAACTTGTTAGTCCTGAGGGTCAGAAATCCAAAAATTAGGGTTCCACAACTTAAAAGTCCTGCCTGTTTCTTTCATTGAACTTTAAATAGAATCTTAAAAATTAGAACCTTTCTCAAGCCAAAATCTGACTCCGATAAACCATAATTACAATTTATCCTTGAGCAATAGAAAAACACGCGTAGTTGTTTGTCAGCATTTGACAAAAAATCAATAATCGCCATGTCAGATGATATTTTCAGCACAATTGGTCTTTCATCACAAATATCGTTGTATTCTAACTTTTTTCCCAGCTTCTCCATATTCCCACGTGGTGTTTCTGTCTACCCCTTCCCACTCTTGTTTTAAAGATTCCTGCTATCGAAACAAGCTTTCTGATCTTTTCCGGTTCCTTCTCTGGTTCTCTCTTTTTCTGATTTTTTTCAGTTCTTTTCTATTCGATTATATTCGTCATTGTTTTTACAGCTCTCCGGAATCCAAGTTGTCCCAAAATTTCTTTTTTCAGGGGGTTAATGAATGAATCATTATGTCCAGACGGTTATCTTCTGGCTATAAATGTTCTTTCAATTACGCTTTCTTTGCCAATGGTGGTTATTTTCAAACTTTTATGTGTGCTACTCTTAATTCATTCGAAAACATTTCATCCGTTTTTTACGTAAGTTTGTTGGGACCGCAAAACCACTAATACAAGGCCAGCTTACACATTCACTTTGTGCTCAATTATATTAATTCCTATGAAAGATATCGAAAAAAAAAATGTGTCAACGATAAAATGTTAATGGTATTATGACAAACATTTTATCATTTGAAAATTTTTTGATATCTCTTATAGCAACCGAGATAATTGAGCTCAAAGTGCAAGTAACGGATGGCCTTTCATTCGAGTGTTTAGGGTGTTTTTAATCGCCCTGAACTTTTCAACTAAAGTTGATAATAACCAACACTTTAAAAATTTTTTACAATTTTTGGGAATTCAAGATGACTATTTTTCCCACGGTCCTCGACTTTGTATGTAGTCTGACTACTGAAAATCGTAGATGAGAAGTTTACTAATGAATGTAATAGAAAATTGTTAGTTTGCTCATACACATAACATCAACTTATAAAAGCATAATAACAATAACATTTTCCGATAATTGTAGGTCGATTTCTGAGACTGATGTAACTCCTACAGTAATCCATCTCGTCCTTTCCACAAATTTCAGAATTTCGTTCATCCTTCTAATATTCTCCTACGCAATATGCAACTTATGTGTTCTTCTAACCGCTGTATTTCAATTATACAATGAAGAAAGTCCAGTTATCTTCTACATTGATAAAGTCTATACATGGGTCTACTTTTATATTCAACCATGCGGTTTGTATATTTTTCCCTAAATTTTAGTAGGCTTTTTTGGTTTAATGCATCATTTTTCAGTAGTAATTGGATTGATTGAAAGGCTATGTGCGACTATTTTTGTTAGTGCCTATGAGCACTCAAGATATTGGATTGTTTTTGTTATTGGACAAGTCCTAGGTGTAGGTTTTTGACTTCCTATAGAACAATAAAGCATCAAAACGAGTTACAGATTGGGGTTGTGTATTATGAGAACGTGTTAATGGAGAATGGAGATTACAATGATACTGCGAAGAATGTTCAGTTCGGGTTGTCGATTTGTATTTGTGTATGTTTGGTTATTTTGTATTTTGTCAATCGTTACTTGACATTGAACTCTCGCCACAAATCAAAATTGACAGTTCGGTATCAATTGGCGGAAAATGTGAAAGCATTGAGGTGCCAAGAGAAAGTTCAGCCTCCTTCTAATACATTTTAATTCCAGAATCTTCGTTCCATTCATCATTGTAGACAACAGTATATCTATTTTATTTGTTTTCTCAATGATTTTCTTTGAAGTGGACTTCAATATAAATCTAGAAGTTTGTAGAAATCTTCCTGGATATAAAATTAGTTTTGCTGTTTTTAGAACGGTAAGTTTATAACAATGATGTAATGCTGTGGCTAGTTTGGTTTTTTCGAACGGAAAACAATTTCTGAAAATACTGTTTTCGTCAAGAACACAAACTTCAAAGTTGTGTATCTGTTAGAAGCTTGATCTTGCCTATCTGGCCATTGCCTCGTGGGTACACAGGCTCAGGATACATCACACAAAGATACCGTAAAACCTGTAATACAAGGCCCCCACATTGTCAAATTTGAGCTCGATAATCTCAATTCCTATGCAAGATATCAAAAATGTGTCCTGACAAAACATTTTCGATATTATGATAAACAATTTATCAGCTGACAACGTTTTTATATCTTTGACAGGAACCGAGAAAGATGGGCTCAAAGGTGAAGTTAGGGGCCCTTTTTACCCTAATAACACCTGTCCAAGAACTCAAAGTTTCTTCAGATACTTCTGGTGACCCAGTTATTCATGCCTCTCCTAGTTGTGAGACAACATTCTTCCATTTGGAACCAAATCAAAACTCAACTGGCTCGACGGAAGCCGACAGTACGACAGAGCATTGATGGCGACCCGAATAACAAAGTTCTTAAAGTTTATTATAAGTCTGAAAAAATTGTTTAAAGTCTGCTACCGCAAGATCGAAAGAATTTTTTCGTTGATTTTCTAGTAATTGAATTTCGAAGTCCGTAAATTTAATCAGAGCCGAAAAGAATGTGTTCTAGGAACTCAATCACTGATTTTCAGAACTTCTGTTTTTTAATTAAAAACTCAGCTCTCAGACTCTGAACAATTTTTGTAGTAGCTCTTGTCCCCTTAATCCTATCAATTCAACAAAATCATTTTCCAGATCAACAACGTACTTGGAATGGATATCGCCGGCTCTAACGTAGACTACTTCACCCAACTGAAAGCTCAATGGCTGACTTAAAAATATTAATTTTTGCATTTGATAAGATTCCTAATTTAGAAGAATAAAATTATGTACTGATAATGTGTGTTCTCAAGAGATCTTGCCCCATCTGCGTCACCATTCCTTTTTTCTTGCTGAGCTATAAAGAGCAGGTGCAAGTTAGATCCGAATACTCCTCATAACTTTATATTCGCAAGTTTCAGTTTCTAGTTCCGAATTCGTGATTTTCTGAAAATGATGATTTCTTACACAAACCTCAAACCTTTAGCCAATAGGATGTTATTCGAGAAAATGTCTTAAAACTGGCAATTTTCTAACCCAGAAATGCCATTGGCTTGATCAGTTGGACACACTCACAAACACTCAGTTGATCAATTTTTTTCTAAAGTTTTTTTCTTGAATTTTTTTAGAAAAAAAAAGTATTTTAAAAACCAGGAACTTTCAAGCTGGAGGGGTTGAAATTTTTCATTAAACCAAATGAATTGCCTTGAGCTATTTATTAGCACAGAAAACATTAATAGAATCCTCAGTACTTCTGAAAAGGCCCTAAATAGTTTTTCGAACGAAAAAAAAATTTCCATGAGATTTGTTTCTATTTAATATTATCTAGGAAAAAACTTCTTTTCCGTAAGGTATACGGTAGCTAGCTCCACCTCTCAAAGCCTCGTGAGAGATCAAAAATTGAAGAAAATTTTATGTACCAGTAATTATCGGATAACGAATAAATAAGAATCTAATCCTATCTTCTTAAAATCTTTTGCTACTACAAAAATTTATAGTTGAAAGGATCCAAAAATTTTTTTGACATTTCTAGAGTCAACAACTTTCGCTAATACTCTGTCCACCATACCTCTTGCGAGCTTTTATTTCTCAATTTTTCTCAAAGTTGGATTTATTATTCGAGAAAAACATGGTTACTGTAGTTGAGATAAGAAATTTTTAATGTTGATCACATCCCATTGAGCTCAGTATCTCGTGTTTCAAGCAACTTTGGTATTCTTTCAGCTACTGTAATACCTGCAATAGAAGTTCCACTAACTTTTAACTTTGAGGCAATTTTTGTCAGAGTTAAAAGTTAGGGCCCTTTTATTACAGGTTTTTCGGTAGATACGGGGTAGTACTGAACGAACAAAAAAAGTTTCTAACATCACTAAATTTCAACAACTAGTCTAATCTTTCACACCAAATTAACAGACAATCTTTTGAATTTCCGCCAAACTGAATGTCACAAAAACTACAGCTTTTTCCACCTTCCTTCCTATTTACCAATTTCACTAGAAATCACCTGTTCACCCAATTTCAACCAAATTTCCAGTTCCCCTCCGCCTCCGCTTCATCGATTTCTATCGTTGTTTCATGAATCGATCCTGGGAAGAAATATTCATGGAGAACTGTGGACCGGCACGTATTCAGTTGTTATCAATTATATCTTCCCTGGCTTTGGTACCTCTGGCTTCCCTGTTTTTTGGATCGATTTGCGCATTTTATAACAGTCGAAAAAATTTTCATCCCTTGTTTTCGTAAGTTTTCTAACATCTGTAAGAACTAAATCTCTAGACAAAACCTTCAATTTCAGATTCTGTTTTCTAACTCTTCTGACTTTGTACTACACCTCAACAACAATTTTGGCAATTCGTAACATCATTTTTTCAATTTTCGGGGACAATTTTCAACAGCCAGAAAGAAACGCTGACATCATTATCAGAAATTGTGAACGACTTTATATGGCAATCAATTTTTATATTCCACCATTGAGTGAATAAAAAATGTAGGGTCAGATTCAGAAATTATTGACTTTTTTCAGTTGCCATCAGTATTCTGGAACGATTAATTGCCACAACGTTCTCTCGTTATTACGAACATGCTAGGCCATGGTATCTACTTGCAATTGGATTGTTTTGCGCGGTAAGAGCTTTTTTCACTAGTAGAAGCTCTCCAAAACCGTAACCGTGAGCTCAAACATCTCAATTTCTGTGAAAGACATCAAAGTTTTGTCAACTAATAAAATGTTGGTGATATCATGATAAGAAATTCATCCGTTGACGAATTTTAGTTATCTTTATCAGGAATCCAGATAATTGTGCTCAAATTAGACGGTTCGGGTGGGCTTGGCTTTAATTGAACCCCCCCCCCCCAACCGTCAAATTTGAGCTCTATTATCTCGATTGCTGTAAGAGATATTTAAAATCTGTCAAGTGATAAAATATTGGTGATATTATGGTAAACAATTTATCAGTCGACAAATTTTTGATATCTTTATCAGGAATCCAGATAATTGAGCTCAAAGTAGAAGGCTTGGGTGAGCTTCCTGCAGAGGATATCTCGATTGAGGGTATCTAGCTCGACGGTATTTCGTGTCCCAATCTCATATTTAATATTTTCAGAGCATTCTGGTATACATTGAGTTCTCTAACCGTCACGTTCTCCTGGCTGCCGTTTCCACTAAAAACATTCAAACACTGTTTGCTATCACCTGCTCTGTTTCTCTTTGTCTTCTTCTACTGGCAAATCGGGCGAAATCCAAACATGGCCGAGCCAAATCTGCACTATCCGAGAGATATCAAGTCAACGAGAATGTCAGAGCTTTACGAGTTCAAATTCCAGTTGTGGTCATCGATACAGTAATCCAAACGATGTTTCTATGCTCTGATATGTTTTGGAATGCCGGACAGGTGCTGAATCTCAACAATTGCTATGACGACGATTGGTACTTAAACAAATTCACCGCGTTTCGATTGGTAAGTCTGAACTTTTGTATCTAAACTTTTTTCACTACTAAAAGGTTCAAAAGTACATATACTTTCTGTTTGGTCTGAAGACCCATCAATTATGGGTAAGAACTTTTTTGTCAGCTGGAGATGATGTGAATAATTTATGATGTTTCACTTCCTTCTTTTCGTAGTACCAGGAACAGGGATTGGGAAAAAAACAAAACGAAAAATCGGTAATTGGAAAAAAGTCAGAAAAACCGGAAACACAAAAATTAATCCCATTGGTTTTTTGAGAGATCCAAACTACACATTTCCATTGTAATAATAACTGCAAGATCCTCAAAAAAAAGAAGGGTCAGCAGAAGTTGACCAGGAACTAGAGCTTATTAATGTTATATTTCCCCTGGTAGGGCAAGTTCTATTTTGGAAGCTATCGGGTGGTCATGTGGTTTAGGGACCAATGAGAGAAGCTAGAATAAAGAAAATGTCATGAAACCTGTAATAGATGGGCACTGTCAAGTTGAAGTCAATGTTTTTTTAATTCCTGTGAAAGGTATCAAAAATGTTTTAACTAATAAAACGCTTGTCATGAAATCACCCAAATTTTATTATCCAGTACAGTTTTGAAATCTTTTGAAGGAACCGAGATAGTCGAGCTCAAAGCGCTCGCACAGTACCGGTCAATAAGACATGCAAAAACTTATTTTTCAGTTGATTTTCGGCCATTGTGATCATTTTCGGGAGGCTGGAACTTGGCTGTCAAGTTTCCGATCACTTTAAAAACTTTGGGGAATGTGAAACAGACCTGGATTGAAACATTTTCATTAACAGAATTTTTTGAATGTTGCTAGTTTTTCAGCTATTTGCCGATTTCTGAATAACAATGATTTTTTCACAAAAATCATTTTGTGAATACGAAATTTCTAATCTAGAACTGTTTTACACCCTCCAAAGTTTTCAAAGTGATCGGAAACTTGACCGTCAAGCTGTAAGCTCCTGAAAATAGTAAAAATGACCCAAAATTAACTGAAAAATACGTTTTTGTACATTTCATTGTACGGCACTGTGGGTTTCTAGAAAAAAGACGATGACCAATAAAAATGATAGTTCTTAATTTTCCCTTTAATTTTCAGATTGGCTTCACACTTCAATATTTCATCCCATGCATCGTAATGTTCCACTTCACTCAATTCTGCTGCAACTCAATCCGACGTCGTCCAAATCGACGAATCAAATCTGTGTCTCCACATCCAGAAACCACACCAATTACCGTACTTTCGATTCGCAACGTTTTGGGAATGCCGTTGACTGGAGAGCACGTAGGAGCATCGGGCCAGGAAGCTCATTTTAAGAATCTTCATGACCAATGGAATGCTTAATTTCAAAACAATTGTATTTGTACACTTGGTTTCTGCAATAAGAAAATGAGAATAAAATGAGTTTTGAAAATCTTTGCTCTGCTTGAAAATGAAATATAGCTTTGTTTATCTTCCTCTCCAACTTCTTCTTCTTCTAGGCCCTCATCATCATTTCAGTTTCCTGGAACTTGTCACTCTCGCTCTCTTCTCGTGTTTCGTTTTGCATCCAAAGGTCACATTCATACAGGAGGGCCCAAATAACTGAATTCATGTTTGTTTCGTATTCATGAGAGAATGGCATTCGACCTCTGCAAGTTCCCTCCTCCCCCAAGCCACTCTTCTCAAGATGTCATGAGCCACGCCTTCTTTTTGTTCTTCCTGAAGACGTCGGACCACAACGCATTTTGGTTTCTATTTTGCAGCAAAAATGAGTGTCCACGAGTTGTCTAATGATTTCAATGTGATGGCAATCGAAAGAAGTTTGAAGCATCAGGATAGTGGGTCGACGGAAGGATATGGACATCACGAGAGAGGGGTAAGTCTTGATTTTTTGGGCCGTATGCAAGTCATAATTTTTGGTTTTGAAAGACATGTAAAAATATCTCGTTTTTTATTCAAAAAATTAGTTACAATAGTCCCCCCAACCCCTCTGTTTACATGGGGGCGCATATTACCCGGACTATAATAACATTCTAGTGAAACGTTGTATTACGCGCAAATTTGAAAAGCTCAAATTCAAACAATTCATCAGTAACCTGGCCGAGTTTGAAACTATCTTAGCTACTTTACGCTGAGTTATCCCTTGTCAAACTTGCTTCAGCTCGTGAAAATTTTAGGAAACATTCCGATGTTCATCTTTAGACAATCATAACAATACCTAGGCTTGAGCCATCACTTTGAAAATTTCAGTAGCTTCAAATTAAATGTAAAACTATATTTCTACCAATTTTCCTACCTCCAGGAGACTTATGTCTAAATATATCCCTATTTTTATCATGGTCACCCTCTATAAACAAGTAGATTGCTGTACTTTTCGGGTTGAAAAAATACGTATGACGTAAAATTTGGAAGACTTCCTAAACATTAATATCAAACTAAAGCCCTTCCTAAAGCCACCCTGTATCTTTACACCATCCCACAAAGTACATTTTTCCGATCCCCCAGTGAATCCCTGGTTTTTGCACCTCCATTTCCTCCAATCTCTTCAAATTTTGCAGCATCTCACCAGAAAATCTTCCACGTCTTCAAACTGCTCCTCTGGTCTTGATAAGCGACGCAATTTTTATCGCAAAGATTCAGAGGTCAAAATCGAGGCGATTTTCAAAGAACTATTCTCTCCAGATGCCAAAATTATTGACCATTACGAAGGGGACATGCTAATGATGTGAGTTCTTTTTTCTTCAATTTTTTTCAGAATTTTAAATCTTCTAGCCCTGGAATCGAAATAGACGATAATGAAGAAATCGAGCTGGCAGTTCCGAACCATGACAGATTCAAACTTCGACGACAGACTTCTCTAGTTCCAAAGAACATTGAGCCCAAGAAAAATGCATCTCCACAACCGCGACTGCGTGTAATTACTCGAAAATCGCCATCACCAATGCGAAAGTTGTCAACTCCAACTCAACGAAAACGGGTAAGAAGATTCAGGAAATTAGAAAAATCCTGACGTTGTTTTCTCTTTGTTTTTCACATTTCCTTTGTCTTCTCAAAATGATACCAATTGCACGTATTCTCTAGCTCAAAACACATTCAATTATTTTGTTTCTTTCTTTTCAGTCGGCTCCCTCAAGGGCTCCACTTCCAAAGTTGAGTGCTCTGCCAAGTTTAAAGGTTAGGGAAGAAAGATTGAGATCAAAAAATGAGCAATTGTTTTCAGCCAAACTTTGTGACAGTCGCCGATGAGTCTACCTCGGGATCATATCTTCGTAAAAATCGTGAGTGTGGAAAGTAAGGGAGAAAATTCTGAAGTTCGGTTTTTTTTTCAGCTATTCCTCTCCGTCGTGGACTCTCAATCTCTCAAAAATGAATGGAAAGTGTTTCCTGAATCAATGGATGTGACTAAATTACTTTTAAATGTACAAATAAAGTCACAAATTCTATAAAACTGGTGTTGATTTTGTAAAAATCCAAAATATTTCAGAATGGCAATTTTCCTAGTCCGAAATCACTGTAAAATCTTGAGCTCAATTATCTCTGTTCCTTCAAAAGATGTCAAAAATGGGTTAATTAATAAAATGTTGCTGATATTATGACAAACAATTTATTAGTTAACAGTTTTTGTATCTTTTAAAGAAATTGAGATAATTGAGCTCGAAGTCGACGGTTTGTGTGGGCTTACCATTAATAGAACGTCCCTCAGACCGTCAACTTTAGCTTAATTATCTCAATTTCCAAAAGAGATATCAAAAACGTGTCAACTGATAAAACGTTGGCAATATTATGATAAACATTTTCTCAGTTAACAGATTTTTGTTATCTCTGATAGAAATTGAGATAGTTCAGCTCAAAGTATAGAGCTCCAAAAAACCCCTATCCCCTCTCCTTTAAAAATACAAATCTTGAAAACTTTAGTCTTGCCGAGATTTTAGATTCTCCAACAACCCATTCTGATCTTTAGCATGCTCCAGATGTCTCCCAGTCTCCAGTATTTTCAAACTTGTTCTCCTTGACGTCAGTAAAAACGTAGAATCAAGTGTCAAAACAAAGAAAGGTTAGGTCAAATCAGATCAATAATATCGGCTTTCGCCGCCGTCTCCGATCGTTTGTGTCAGCTGCTCTTCCCTGTCTTTTGCCATCTCTTTATCTCCTCCGACTATCATCTCACCCAACACGTTGTCACAATTTCGACGTCGGGGAGGGCTCCACCCGTTTGCTCATATCTCATAATTCATCTATCCTTCGTCATAATCACCTATGAACTTTTATCTACTCGCTTTTTTGTTATTAATCGCTGGAAATGGAGCAGCAAGTCCACTGGGACAAGAATCTGATGAAGCCATCGTGGCAACTTCCAGACCCAGAAATCTAGAAGACGATGACGTGGAGACTACAACGCATCCGACGTTCACAGGTTCGAACCAACAAGGTCCATATTGTGTAGAACATTAGAATGTAGCCTATAGCACTCGTCGGAACTTCTTCTCTCTTCTTTTTAGTCTCATTTTTCATTCATAAACTATGAGATCATGGTGCGTGTAACTATGTTGTTTTTTCGTCGAATAGGCATTCTGAATTTGCAATTTTCGCATTTTTTCTTGAGTCATCTTGTAGATTAGAATTCTGAATAACAAAATGAGGAAAAAAAACAAAAAAATGACTAGAAGGAGGAAGAAAAATAAGATGCTTTCAAAAATGAATGAGAAACCAGCATCCAAATTTTGTTGGAGGGAAAATAGAAAACAAATATTTCTCATATATGTGGGTCTAGAAGTTTTAGCTTTAACTATTTTGAACCCGAAGAGTACTGTAATCTAAATACAGGATGGCGCATAATTATCCGGACTAATAAAAACGGGTATATCTTTAGACATAAGTATCTTGGAAATACCAAAATTGGTAGAACTATAATTTTAAGTTTGATTCAAAGCTACTGAAATTTTCAAAGCGATTCCTCAATTCTAGGTGTTGTTATGATTTTCCAAAGATAAACGGTTTGATGTGTTTCCTGTGATTTTCATGAGATGAAGCAACTTTAACAAGTAATAACTCAGCTCAAAGTTGATAAACTAGTTGAAAGAAATTTTCGAAGGCGAAGTGATTTGGGATGAAAATTGAAAATTTTGAACATCGCTCCTTCTTCCATGAATAAGTTGTCTACTGGTAAATTGTTTATCATAATATCAACAGCATTTTATTAGTTGGCAAAATTTTGATATCTCTCATAGAACCCGAGATAATTGAGCTCGAAATTGACAGCGTGGGGGCCCATCTATTACAGGTTTTACGGTATACGCCACCCTGTTCAGTGAGTTTCCCGGTTATCCAGTCAATTTTAGAAGTCAAAAATGACAATTTCCTGATGACTCACACTTGTCAAAAATGTCACAAAACCTAGAGTATACTCATTTCTCTGTCTTTTTGTTTCCAAAAATGTTAACACAACAACAACTTTTCTCTTCCCCCTTCTCATCACCGTTCGTTGTGCTCATATCACGTGCACTCTCCTCTGATTGCTCAGCACAAATAAAACTGAGATTAGGAGACGGGGAACGACCTTTTTATTGGATGGATCATCACACAACAAAACAAAGAATCAACACAACAAAACAAGTCATAGTATCTAGAAAAAAAATAGAAAGAAATGACATGAATTCTTTATTTTTGCAGTTCAAAGATTGGATGCTCCAATTGAGCGGATCGAGATTCGATTGATCGATGACAATACGACCCATGTTGTTCCAGAAGTTGTGATAAGTGCTGAAAAAAGAGATGAGGATGAGAATAGAACAAATGCTGGGAGAGATGGAAATGATGAAGGGACAACTACGGAACAGGTACAGTAAGATTCACGAAAACTTACAATTAGTTTTCCGTTGACTTTCAGCTATTTTCAGGGGTCCGAAGCTCGGCTGTGAAGTTTCCTATCAATTTGAAAATTCGAGAGTGTAAAAAAGACCTAGTATGAAAACTTTGCATTCACATAAATTTTTGAAAATTATTTTTATGTTCCGATTCCTGGAAGACACCCCCTCTCAACCGGTTTTTGTATTGAAAGCGTTAAAAAACAGATGTCTTTCGGAAAGCGGCAAATATCTGAAAAACTAGGAGTTTTCTGAAATTCTGCGAATGCAAAGTTTTCAGTCTAGGTCTGTTTTACATCCTCCAAAATTTTCAAAATGATCCAAAACTTGAGAGCCAAGCTCCAGATTTCTGAAATTGGCTGAAAATCAACTGAAAAAAATGTTTTTCTATATCTTATTGGGTACTGTAGCTAGAGATTGTTCATAAATCTAACTATTCAGCCACCCCATCATCATTTCCACGAGCCTGATCAAGATCCATCCCCAGCCCCCACCGATCTTCCTCCATCGTCTCAAGAAGACATGTACAAAAAAGTGGGTATGTGGTCCAGCCGACATCTGCTCTCGAGCCAACCCCGGAGCCAACATCTCCACAATACTCGGATGCTCCTGGTTATTCGACTGAACATTCGACTGAACAACCAGTTGTAGTTGGAGAAGACCCTTATTACTACTCCACCCTGTCCCCAGCGAAACAAGCTAGCGCTGAGGTAAGTCTATCCATTGGTTTCAGTCAAAATGGAATAAGAGGCTTTGAAGGTGCAGGCAAAAGCATGGATATCAGTGTCTTCCACGATTCCAAAGTTTGAGGGAGATATTGATGAGGACGATCTTCCACCACCGCCAGCTTCGGAGGACAATGAGGTTACTTTTGAATTATTGAGAAAATCATCGCTGTGTTTTCCCGCGTTTTTTTCCCGATAGAGTCCAGGTACCGCTGCAATTCAATTTAAAGCTTTCGCGGCGAGAACAAGGCTAATATGTATTACGGTAGTACTACGTATATTCGCATTTGAGCGCTATTACAAGACCTTGTGAAGAAAATAACACCGTATGACAAAATAAATTTTCAAAAGAACGCTGTCTAAAGCTGGCATTATTTTCCAGGTTTCCAGACACACTAAATATCACTCATTTTGACTGTGTTTTTATTTCGAGACCCACCGTGAATCGACATGAATTCCTCATTTTCAACAGTAAAAACAAAGTCAAAACGAGCGATACAGTAGTTTCTTAGGTCTGGAAATCTGGAAAACAATGGCAGCTTATGATAGTGTTTTCCAGGACTTTTCTCCTAGAAATTTGATTTAAACTCGGCAAAAAAGTCATATAAATCAGCGTAAAATTTCAGAACGAGGAGCCAGAAGAAGAATGCCTTGCCAACGAAGAGAATCTGACTGACGAAGTGATCGAGCGACTGAAATCGGAAACTGCAATGTACTATCGTCTAGTCAAACAGAGAAACGATCAACAGAAGGAGTTCTGTGGCACCATTGCGGCTCGAGATGTGACAACTGAAGAGTTCAGAAGATGTAGTAATTGGAGAGCCGAGAAGCTTGTCTACTATTACAAATTGATGCGAAAGACCTATTGTCAAGTTGACAACTGGCCCAACTCACCGAAAATCAAGAAAACTTATGGCGAATATCTCAATTTGTTCGGCACTTTCTATGCGTTTCAGAAGTAGAATCATAGTGATTTTTCGCATAGTTTTTGTACATTTTCTTGTTTACTCTCGACCAAAGAAAGCGGGTCTCAATTATTTTATTCCTGTACACGATCTTATTCGTTTTCTTTCTTTACCAATAAATTGTCATAAAACACTCATGAATGCTTTATTAACAGATCAATTCAAAAAAAAAGAATACATTATTCAAGAACTACAGTTCCCTTATTATGCTTCAAACTGACTTCTCTCGGTTTTCTGTAATATTTTGTAAGTTTTGAAAGAAGTCGTCCCGTCCCATATGCTTATCAGCCTCCACTCGTAGCTCGACCAACTGTTGGATGTGTTCGTTGCTCAGCTGTTCCATCTTATCCGAATCCAAATCTTTTCCAATGTTTCCCTTTCGAATGCCGGCACTTGACAATTGTTTAGAGAGCATCATACAGTAGTTCTGGAAACATGTCAGTTAGCTTTTTTCTAGACACAAATCTTACAGTCCATTCTGTGATAAAGGGCTTCACAAACTCTGGCTTCGCATTGATGTGCCTTTTGAACTCATCCTTCACGTATGTGTCGCCCATAAGTCGAGCCGGCGCAGGTAATCCATAGTGGAGTCTGAAAAATTATGTTTTGGAACTAAAACAGTTAATATTTTACCTGAGGATACTTTTATACAAGTACAACGGAAATCGTTCAGGGTTAATAGCTCTTGCGGCAGCCTGAGCAGCTTTCATGATGTAAAAATCTTAAAAAATAAAAATAATTCCAAGAGTTCTCGAGGAGTACACGAGGTGATGGCCTAGAAAGCACCCAGTTGGACGGCCGTGTACTCCACGAGGACAAGATTTGTTTTTTCGGAAATCTGAAATTTTCCCTTGCTTACACAACAAAACAGACTGAAAATGGCGGATAATGTAGAAGAAATGCCAGATGAGGAGATTCCAGCAAAAAGACCAAAGACCTCCGATTCTGATGAGTCATCAAGAGTAGGTGTTATTTGCTCTTTTAATAAATCTAACCTTGTTTGAAAGTTTTTCCAGTTTCGTCCTCCATACACAAGATATCATCAAATCGTTCGTGAAGAATCGAAACATCATCTGCTGCTTATTTTCACTGGAAGTATTGCCGTCATGAAGGCACCAGAGTTGATCAGCGAATTGTACGCGAAAATTGGAAGAGATCGTTTGTTCATCAAGGTTTTATTCCTTCAATTGGCGAGATTTTATTACTGATTGCCACATTCAGATCGTTACAACCGAAAGAGCACTTTCATTGACTGAAATTCAAAAATTCGAGTTTGAAGAAACAGTTTATGAAGATCGCGACGAATGGTCAATGTGGACAGAGAGAGGAGATCCGGTCCTTCATATCGGTATTCTTTTTTTTGTTGATGGATTCACATTTCAAAACACAAAAATGTTTCAGAACTCCGAAAATGGGCAGATTCTGCACTCATCGCTCCACTCGGTGCTAACTCAATGGCAAAAATCGCCAATGGAATCTGTGATAACCTTGCGACCTCGATCATCCGTGCTTGGGATCTTTCCAAACCATTGTACTTTGCACCAGCCATGAACAGTCACATGTGGGAGAGTCCGTTGACTCGGCAGCATCGCGACGTGTTGAGATCGCAGCTAAGGTTCAAGGAAATCTGCCCAATTCAGAAGGAGCTCATGTGCGGAGATTCTGGAATGGGAGCGATGGCATCGGTCCCAACGATTGTATCGCTGATTGCAGCGCTTGTCAGAGACCAGCAAGCGGTCCGAACTAGATGCACTGAATAACTTATTTCACTCATTTTAATCTTGTTCAACACACTTTATTTGAAGCTTTTATTTATTTCATGGTACAATGAAGTACATGACCAACTTTTAAGTTAGTTTTTAGTACAAATTATTCAAGCAATAAGCATGAAATATGAGATCTAAAAATAGTTTCCCCCATATTCTAACCATCGTATTTACATTTTGAAGCACCGGCGAAGCTGAAAATTACGGGGAAATAGAGGTCATATAGAAACGGGAAAGCTACATTTTTTAATTGTAAGTTTTGCTGACCCGCTTTCGTATGACCTCTTGGAATAACTAGCGATATAATTAAAGTAAATTAAAGCGTTTGGCCTTGGCAGTAGAAAGATTTGAAGCTTCCTGCGACCTCTGTACATTTTCCATCTTTGAATTTCGCCAAACAAAGTTTTCTGTTAGCGCTTGCTGAGCAGGTTTTCAAATTTAGTTTCGACTGAATGAGAGATGCATGTCGTTCGGAGCTGGTACTTGAGTCTGATGAGCTGCTCTGAAAATTACGAAAATTATGAATTATAACAAAATTAACTAGCTTACATCAGAAATAGCTCTCTCCAACCTTCGACCAGTCATTGTTTTGAGAAGAGCATCGATGAGAGGTGTCTGAGATCCAGTGACCATTAGGAATAGGGTCGTTTCATTGTCGGTAATATTGATTTGTGTTGAAAATCCTTCTTTAATATCCTCATCACAACTGAGATTCAGAATCAAGAACGGCGTTTGATCCTCTTTTGTTCCTTCCAATTGCCATGACATCTCTTCTAAAGATTGGACGAAGAGTGTTTCCGTGAAATTAGCATCCACAATTGTCAAAAAACGATCGTTGATTCCAACGTTGACCTCAACTTCGGCAAACGGCTGTCCGAAATTTCTCAAACTGGCTCGTGACACCTTTTTTTCAATTCTTGCCGAAAACCACGCAGCACCGTAACAACTCGATGACTCTGCGAAAGTCTGAAGAATCTCGTGCTCTTTTTCAAACTCGTTCGATTTCGGGAGCACGCCTTCCAGCAGTTCATAAGGCGTTCTTCTTGAGCTCTGTAATATGATGACATAGCGTTATTTTTTCCGTAAAAAATTATACGACTTTTCAAATTTCACTGATAAAAACTAACTAGGTCATCAGTAGAAAGTTACTCACGTTTTCTTGTTGATGGCCTTTCCAAAAATGGTCTTCGAAGCAATCGATTCACAGGTATGCTCTGGAAGTATCTCCTCGATATTGCTTCTGATGAAAGCCACATCGTGTTTCTGCTCGTTAAAATCTCCAAACTGTAGAGAGAAGAGAAGGGCGGCGACACGAATAGTGTCGTCGAGAGAAAGGAAGTGAAGACGTCCGAGGAGAAGCATTTCGCGAGCATCTATGATTAGGAAACGACCACATTGGGGATATTGGTGAAGCAGCTGGAATAAAGATTTATCTAAATTTGCAGGTTTCTAGAATCTTTTGAAACGCTGAAAACAAGAAACGTCATCAGAAAGATACACCCAAGATACACTCTGTGTTTTTTTGGAATCAAATTTCTGAACAAATAAACAAAATTGAGATTGAATAGAGATGAGTCATTGCTGCGCGTCTAAATCGAGTTTGTCGAGAGAAGGAACCAAATCTTATACGATTAAATTGAATAGACTCGTTCTCGATAAATGCGTAGTGACTGGTCATTAAGTGGGTGTCTTGCCCACTCAAAGGTAACTTTGTCAGTGGAGAATATGACTAGGACGCGGTATAATTGTTTCCGAAAAAAGAAACGAAGGTCAGAGAGCAGTTTATGCGAAGTGTATACAGTAGGCATCTCGAAGCGAATCGCTGCGTCTCAACCTTCATTTTTTTCCGAAAGCGATATTAGAGGAATTTAAGACTGACCTCGAATTCTCGATCGCATGTCAAACTTGCATTCCTTCGAAGCATCAGAATTGGCTCATCGGCAATCAAAGATCGGCCTGTCGGGGCATCAGTGAATCGATTTAGAAGAGTTTCCCATCCCTGACGGCACTCATATGGGCGGTGATACGGCTTCAGTTGAACTTCTAACAACGGAGAGATCATCCAGATAGCAAACATTTCAGAGAATGCGGGAAGATCAATATCGTATTCTTTACTAAGATGAAACATTAGCTTTTTAGTATCAGCAGTTTTGCCAGCCTCAATATTGAGTTCAATTCCATTTTCTGTAAAAAGTTGATGTTAGAGAGACAAGCAAAGAATTAATATTTACCAGAGATAGCTGGATTCTCGACTCTCGACAAATAAATGCGGAATTTGACGACTTTTGGTGGACCCAAAGTATCCGTACTTTGGTTGTGAGTTGCTCTCAAAGCTTGGTTAATCGGTGTGAATGGAACGAATTCCACTCCGGTTTGTTCATGTTCATTCTGCAAAATTTTTCAAGATGATCATATAGAAATGAGGACATGCGAACTTACAAAGTTCTCAACTGGCAATTGTACATTTCGACGTCTACTCAAAGATTCTGGCTCCACAAACCTGACGTCTGGAAAAAGGAGCTAGCCTTTAGAGATCAACCGAAGGCGCGACACTCACCAAAAGTTTGAGTTGATGCCATTTCGTAACAGGTTAATGTACAAAAGTGAAAAGACAGTGTCCGTCTCGTTGGCACAAAACTGTAACTTTTCACTGATTGTAACTTTTTCACTGATAGAGAGGCGCAGCAGTTGAAGAAGAAGAGGCTGGTTGCGAAATTCAATTCGATCACGCGACGAGTAAGAAGGGAAACAGAGGAGAATGGCGAGCGAGAGAGTGAGGAAATGCGAGAGACGCAGAGAGGAAAAGACCACTCAAAGCGTTTTTATCGCTGAACAAATATTTGAAAGATTCGCTGAAAAATCAATGAATCAGCGAACTCTGCTTTGCATTTGAGGACAGTTTGAACCGAACATATTATAAACCGTCTTGCAGTTTACTTTTTGACGAATTTACACAACCTTGCAACGTCTTTTTTCCTTACTACATATATAATAGGAAGAAACTTTTGCATTTTTTTTTCAGAAGCACAAGCAATAACGAGTAAAAGTTGAAAAAGAATCACTGAGAATCGTCTAAAGTAAGCCAAACTTTAGAGCTTTCAAATATAATTTTCGAAAACGAAGAAAAACTAATTATAAAGTCGACCGAACCTTGTGCAAATCGTACTCATTGAGTGAACAGGAAATGACATCATGTTTACTGTTGAGCGAGAATGATTCAACAAAGATCATAAGATAAGCTAGTCGGCAACACAACTGGAACATCTTTCTCTCTCTCTCTCTCTCTCTCTCAAAATATTGATGTTGGAGTCTCGCTGCGATAGTAGCGTACTGTAGCTGAGTGAAAAGCTTATTCATGATAAAAAATTAGAGCAGAAAAGTAGTCACAGTGATGACAAAACGAAAAATAGTTTATCAACAATTATTATTAAGCAAGATATCAACATGTGATTTGTGTCTCTGTTTTAGAATCACAGAATCTTCTATACTCGTGATCGACCACAATGCTTCTTTTTACAACTGCACGATTCCTTCTCTTCCTGAGATTTGAGTTGCTTCATCTTTTCCAGAAGAGCCTCGTACGTCTTGTCTTCGATGTCGATGTTCTCGTCGAGGATGGCTTCCAAGCGTTCCATGCATTGGATACGCTCAATTGTTCGGAACTGGAAAAGTTTTAGTTTAGTTTTTCTATAGCTAAAAAGGGAAAAAAAACTAACAAGTGAGCTGGTACAAAAAAAAGAGAAACGTTGGTGGCCGTGGCCGAAGGTCTCACAAAGAAAACTACCGTAACCTTTTTTTTATATTCAGGATTTTTTTCTCGTTTTTTTTCACTGCTTTTCGTTAATTTTTCAGTTGTTTTCTTTCAGAAAAGTCGCAAAAAAATTCCGTAAAACATTTAATAGAAGAGCCCCACACTGTCAAGTTTGAGCTCAAATATCTCAGCTTCTATGAGACGCATCAAAATTGTGTCAACTGATAAAATGTTTGTGATATTATGATATCAATTGGCAACTTTCCTATGACTTTAACAAGAACCGAGATAAGTTGGCTCAAAGTGAAAAGTTAGGGGTCCTTCTATTACAGGTTTTACGGTTTTGACAGCCAAAGATTTGATTGAAAACGCACGAAAATCGAAAAAAGAACAATATTATTTTAAGGTTACTGTCGTTGTGAGACCTTCGGCCACGGACACCAGCATTTCTCGTCCACAGCTTCGATTTTTTTGTATCAGAGAATTTTTAAAAAATGCTCTCTTACTTGCAAGAAATGCAGTTGAAAAGTCTCCGAAAGTTTCAGTTTGGTTTCAATTGAAACTTTCTTCGTTCTCAGCAAAAATTCTTCACACTGATCCATCACTGCCACTATTTGATATCGTTGACCCAGTTCCAGGAGATCTCGATAGTTACGTACTGTAACTGATTATTTCTAGATTATCGAAAAACTGGAAATGATTACCATTAACTTTGAACTCATCCAATTGAAGAATGGATACCATACCAAGAATAGAATCATAAGTGAAGTCGAAGATTTCGAATTCGGTTTGTCCCGGATTCTCGTTGTAGATCATGTCATAAAGAACTGGAGAATTGTCGGCAAGAAGCTGGAATGAACAAGAAATTTATTAATTTCATTTAAAATTCAAAACTCCAAAACTCACTGCTAGACAGACATCAATAGTCTGATCCTCTACAATCAGTTTCCCATCGGCCAGAAAACTGGTATGATCCTTTTTCTCTATTTGGTATCCAGTTGTCCGACTGATACTCAAATCAAATTCAATTGTGAAAACGCCGTTTACCAAGAATCCAGAGTTCGGTGTAACAATATCATCCCAGGCACAGAATCCACTAGCACCTTTGGAGTTATCCTTGGCAGTAAAGGTATGGGTACAAAGTGGAGAAATCTTGGTTTTCGAGTTTCCCCAAGAGTTGAGAAATCTGAAGGCAAACGATGTGGAGATGGACCATTCGGGATTATCGGTGGCTGGAAAGCAGACCAAGTAGACACTTAGGCGACGCTTCGTGGATTTTGCCGTCTTGCTGGAGACAAACCGGACCGCCCTGGAAAAAGATCAATAGTCCAGATCCGATATAGATGAAGTTAAAAAATTTACCAGTGTCCTCCATTTTCCAATTTAGACTCCGAAGTATAAGATCCATCCAGATGTTCAAAGTTCATGATTTTAAAACATAGCGTTTTCATTTTAGCTGCCATATCTCTCATAGGTTGTAGCAACGACATCTTAGAAGTGAAACTAATATGAATTAAGAATAAGGAAAAAATTGAGAATACGGATAGAAGTCCAATTGTCTGGTACCCCAATGTGTCGTTGGGTTTATTGCATTCCTGTCTGCGCGTACACCATCACGTTCAGTTGCGGACTCCCACACATAAAAATGTATGTAGGAGAGGAAAGTTTTATGCGGGTCGTTAATCACATTGAGTATCGATTTTTACAACAAAAAAGATTAAAGGGGAATGACAAGCATCATGGGGAAAATTAAATAAAGGCAACTTTGGAACAAGATAAGTATTGGCTGGGATTTGGGAAAGACTCGAAAACAAATGAGTGGAAGATGACTTAGAATAGAACATGAGCAATAACAACAACAGATGATCATTTGGGGAACCCGTCATACGAATGGCCCACGATGGAGAGTGTAACTCTATCCATGAGCTCCACAATTTCGCTGTCTGTGAAATCCTGGGGATTCTCAAATAGACGTTGAACTTCATGAGACGTCTTCAGCATTTCAATGCAGCCATTCTGGAAACGGAAATGGTTTCAAGACTTTAAGAACCTGATTTTACCTGCAAATCAACCAGTGAATACTTCTCAGCTAATTTCATTTTAGCTTTCGCAGTCATCAACTGAGTTTTGCTGAGCCAACGTTCACATCGGAGGATGGCAGTGGCACATTTCAGATTTGAAGCCATCTCTAGAGTTTCTTCCACGTTATTACCTGGAAAAGGAATGTTCCTGGGATCTTTTCAAAAAGAATTTTATATTTTTGGGCCTTTGTAAGTCTGCCAAATTTGAATGTTCGCCAGTGGGCCGCCGATGGGCCTCTTGCTGTATTTTCACGGAATTGAATTTCATTTTTGTCGGTTTTTTTGCATCCAGCTCTGCCCTATCTTTGATTTTGATTTTTAAAATTTTCTTACAGTCTATAGCGTCACTATCATCGTGAAAAAGTTTTATGAGTCGAAGCAGCTTGTCATATTTAAAATCGTCGGGAAGTTTCAACTCTTGTACTCCTTTGAAATTGTCCGGATACACTAAGTCCATCAACACTTCTGAATTCATTGCCAATATCTGAAAATTTACAATATTTGGAACATTTAAATTTTCCAGGAGCCTACCTCTTTATTGCAATAAATCGTTTTTCCTTCTACGATCAGTGCCAAATTGGAAATATGCTTTTCTCGAATTGAGAAATTATGAATTCTCTTTTCTCGAATACCGACTTTTTTCATAATTTTAACTACATATTTGACAGTCATTCCATATTGTTTAGTGGATATTTTTCTACAAATATCCAGTGGAAAGTGAAGAGTTAGGTACTTCCGAGCTACATGGTGATGGCTTCCAGTTTTATGTTGATGCCCTTTTCCCTCAAACCAAAGAGCAGCCTCATAATCTATATCCATACTCCAGAAATTTGATCTATCTTCTGAATTGCACATCAACTGAATTCCAAGCTTTCCGTTCTCGACTCCAACAACCCCGCAACGCCTGAAGATTAAATTTTGAGCACTTTTACCACACTTTCAACTCAAATCCTCACCAATAAACATTCTCCGCTTCCTGAGCCATCGATACATAACCACGACCATTGTCATCGTGTAATACTGGTAAATTGAATGTAAGCCTATACGAGTTTGGTCCACTCATTTCTAAATATATATGTGGCTAGTCCACAGAGAAATGTCTACTCTCTCGTATGGCGTCGATTAGGATGCGAGTGTTTGCGGAGGAAGAGAAAGAAGGAGAAGAGGACGTGACAGATGTAATAATTGGATGAAGAAAACACTTTATTATTGGGATAGAAAAAAAAGAAGGGGAAAAATGATTTGGACTTTGAAAGAAAATGAAAATATTGATGAGTTGTCTACAAGGCTTCCGTTTCTAGCTTCCGCCAAAGCTGTTTCCATGTCCAAGTTACAATAATTCGTATTACAGATGTAGTAAGGTACGTCATTGACATACATATATCCCAGCTGAAAATTTAAAATCATCGAAATGCGATAGAAAGAAGAAACTAGATTTAGATACGGACCCAAAACGGGCCATTGGTGCGCCATGCCATAGTTTTTTTGGATCATAATTTTCGGACCAACTAAATTAGATATGATAGAACTCAACGAGTACTACAAAATTATATAATGCTAAAAATAGTTCTATTATCTATGAACAAAGTTACAGACCAAAATACCCGAAAAAAAACAGACTGGGTACGGAACAGCCACTTTAAGTCTTTTAACTTTGTTCACAGACTAGATACAGTTTTCCAAATATTTTCATTTTGTAGTACTCATCAAATTCTGTTATCTCTACTTTAAGTGGTTCAAAAATATTGACCCTAAAAGAAAATATGACAGATCCTGCGATGACAGGCCATGAGACCGCTCTTCAAATATGGAACAAACCTTGATTTTATTGTCTCCTTGCTCATTTGCAGTAATACATCCTTTATAATACTTGTCTTGTTCTTTACTATACACAACGAAACAAAATTGACCACGACATTCAACTGAAATTCAGAGAATTGTATTGGTGGAATTATCCAGCCAACTTACTATCTTTATCATAATAACTATCATTTTTCACCAATTGAGCATATACGTCATAGTAACTCGCTTCGGGCGTATCATATTTTGCATTATTTACATCAGAATCAAACCCACTTGTATAACAAGATATCCTTGGTGCTGGTAATGGAAACGGAAGAGAACCTTCTGGATTATTACAAAGAGCCTGGAAGAAAATTTAATTTTATTGCTAATTGTAAGACTAGCTTATAATACCGTTGAGCATCTACAGTACAAGTTGTATTGTTGTGGATTCATGGAAATATTGTAACATCCATCGTTAAAAAAGTTGAGACCAATCCGATCATAAATGTGACTAACGAGATCCAAATTGAATGGACCAGACTGCCCACTGTAACCACATTGTACGTTTTCAACAGCGTTTGATGGTGCTAGAGTTTTATCGTATGCCATCTGAAAATTTACTTGATTATATTTTAAATTCGAAGCTTCTTACATAATCAACTTTCCATGTGCATTTGTTACAGGCTGCCGCTCTATACTCCTTTTCATACACTTCTTTACATTCAATGATTGGCAGAACAGTCATGTTCAATCGGAACATATTTGGTGCATTGCAAAAGTCAGTGCTAAAAAAATGAATAACATTTTTAAAAAATCGTACTGTCTTACTTGCAAAAGCAATGAATACCATCTTCGTAATCCAGAACACAAGTTTGTTCTGGCATCTTTGCACCGGTTACACAGCTCTGAATTTCGAACGGTTATAGCGTAAATGGTCTATTTGAAAGCTCAATTATCTCGGTTCCTTTAAAAGATATCAAAAACTTGTCAACGGATAATATGTTTCCCATAATATCATTAGCATGTTATCAGTTGACAAAATTTTGATATCTTTTGAAAGTACCGAGATAATTAATATTTAAGTATCTTACTTGTGTTACGTCGAAGTTACTAGTGCCCGGTGCTCTGCGAATAATGCAAAAATCTCCTTCACACGATTCTGATTCAGAATATAAATTTTTATGATAACATTTTACACATTGAACTGGCAAAAAATAAGTATCAATCAGAAAAATAGCTATCAGATTGAGAAGTTGGGTCATTTTGAGATGTTAAATGAAAATGCGGATTTGAACTCCGTCCAAATCTGCTGACGAAGGATTTTGATTGTTTTTCACCTGCCTATCCAACCCCACTTTTAATCAATTCTTTGGAGTCAAGTGTAACATAATACTCGAAAAGTAAAAAATCAACTTTGAATATTAAAGAATTTGAAGGAAACCAGTTTCATTCAAACTGTCCGGACTAAAGTTTGTACTAGCATAAGATTTGAACAAAGCGTTGTACTGGGCTCAAATTTGGAGTGCAAAAACTCAAATAATTCATCAGTAAACTGGCCAAGTTTAAACTTATTCGATCAACTTTCAGCTGAGTTTTCGCTTGTCAAAGTTGGTTCATCTCATGAAAATCACAACGGCGTTTTTACGTCGTTCATCTTTGGACAATCATAACAGTACCTAGACTTGAAGAATCGCTTTGAAAATTCCAGTAGCTTTGAAGAAAAACTTAAAATAATATTCCTAGCAGTTTTCATGCTTCCAGGATGCTTCTGTCTAAAGATAAGTCCGGTTTTATCAGTCCGGATAACTGTGCGCCACCCTGTACATATTCCGGAAAAGAAACTCAGTTTTAAAAGTTTATTGAGAATTTTAAAAAAGTTTTAGAGGAACATAACTTCAACGATTAACTTAAAAGTTTATTCACATTTCAACCATCCACAGTTTGCCTCCTGACTTGAACATTTGATCCACCTAGGGAACTGACAGCTGAAACTCTCGTTGACACCAATTTACGTATTTCTTTGGACGTAAAGAAAAAGAAACAAGGCGTAGCTGCACCTCCGAATATTTCCATCTAAAAACATAAATTGAGAATGACATCATGTTTTATGAAACGGGAACTACCGTATTCACAAATCGTTTAACTATGAAAGCAGTAGCGCCACTGATTTCGAAAATTCTAGATAATAAGAAAACAAATGATGATGTCTGAATAAGGTCCAAAATTTGTTTTTATGATTTATAGATCCAATGATACCTGGAAAACGATGAAAACGAATATAGCCTGTTGTAATATGCCAATTTCATTTTTATTTAGTGTTGTTCGTTTCATAGTAATTATTTTCCCTATAATGGCAATATAAATACCCAGTATCAGAAATGGAATCACAAATTGAATAGATGTATCTATCTGAAATAGTAATTGAAAATTTAGACCTCAAAAGATTCACAGTTTGAGTTTCAAACCATTGCTATCCCAGTGGTAGGATTCGAAAAAATAGGAAAGGATGAAATAGAATCAACTTCGCAGTTCAATAAAAATCTTTTTTCGCTGGTGGAGTATCGATATTTACATTTGGAAGAAACAAACGAGAATTCTATTAGAAAAGGGAATAACCAGACAGCTAATAACCAGATGTAAATTGTAGGTCTAAATTTCTCAGTTTTTGAAGTTTGGAAAAAAATTGCCTTACGTTTCGAAAAATTTATCGGTTAGGTGTCGTAGAAAGAAGACAAATACTCGCTGTATGGCAATCACTAAATTTGAGAAAAGAATGGAATAATGAAAGAAGTCAATAGTATAAGCCATTATCATAAACATCGCTGAAGGTTATCTGATTTTAGTTGGGTTCTTGATAAAGGACTTCTCACGAGATTGAGCAATCTCTGCGGAAATCAAGGACAGGGCAGCTGGGACATTGATAAGCAGGTTTAGAGTGGATATCAGAAATGCTGATATTGTGAGCTGGGATAAAAACCAGAAGAATTTTATCTGTAACAAAAAAGTTTATACTTTTCTTTCCGGAAGCAATACCGGTTTAAAATGGTTCCATAGAAAAATGGAAACAATTATGAAAGTTGCAGTGAGTAGTGTTGAAAAAATTGTGACTATAACAAAGAGTAAAACCGCGAAATAGTATACAAACCCTTTTTCATAGTCTTGAATCTCTCCGAAGTCCTAAAAAAATGCGACTTTTTGAACATTTGAATGATTTACCTATTTACCTCAATTATGCCAATATGAGGAGATCTAGTGGTAAAAACCATGATTTCAAAATTTAAAGAACAGTAGCCGAATAGTTTGTAGGTCAAACAGACTGGCAAAATATAACTGTTGTCAAGTCTTTTCCGAATATTCTAGTAGTTGAATGTCACGTAGGTGTGATAGCCCAGGTTTGCAGGTGATATCCAAAATATCAACCTATATTGAATAGGGGCTTTTTGAGTATTCTAATCTCAATAGTCAAAAAAGCAATTTAACAATCTGGGATATTGCTTGGAGATAAAAAATGATCTAGATTACTTTTATTTGAGTTAGGCAGAGATAATTTGAAAAAATTAAAATCAGGAACTGAAGAGGAAATTAAAAAGGTTGGTTCTGCCTTTTTAATTAAAGGTCCAGCAGCTGAAAAATGTCCACACAGTCAGTAGGAGATGAGTAATAAAATAAGAAATGCATCATCAATTTCCAAGCATTCAGCTCATGAAAGTTTATATCCAAAGCTGTATGCCAGTATATGAAAATCAATGATTATTCGAAAGATGAAAACCACAAGCAATATACTGAAGTGTCCATACTGGAGCTGTAAAATATGTATATGTGGCAGTTAAAACTCATGGACCATGTATGACATGTTGCATGACATAGCGTTCTACTTTAATATTACTTTTCAGAGTGCTCCAACCTCTCTACTATTCAAAGATATATTTTGGAACGTTATTTGGATTTCCAATCATAGCATTGCCAACTTTGATTTTGTCTTAATATTGAAAAATATACATTTATTGATTTCAAGCTGTCAACAAACATTTTTGAAATTTCATAATAGCCACAGTAATTAATGTTATAAATTCGAAGATATATTTTGGAACGAAAATTCAACAATCGAGCGAAATTCGTAATGTCACAAATTTTTCATAGATACAGAAGCGACAATACTAGACTGCATGTACTACTTTATAAAACGTTTTTTCGACCTATTCTAGAGTATTCAACAGTTGTAACCAATCCACGAAAGACAAATGACATTACAGCTATCGAATCAGTTCAAAACGCCTTTACCAGAAAACTTTACAGCAGACAGCTAGGAAGGTTCATTAGAACTGATGATTTAGAATATAAATCGGCATCAGAGCTATACGGCATTACTTCTTTAGAATCGCGTCGCATTGCCCCGGACCACAAATTTCTAAGTAAGATGTTATCAGGGAAAGTAGATATTGAAACAAATAAGTTTTTCAAGGTAGACTTAAATAACAAAACGCGCACTAAAACGAGATTCATTTGGGCAAAACATAGAACCAAAATTAAGGGGAACTTCTTCACGAATCGTACTCTTAGCGCAATAATAAAGCCCAAATGATATTGAAGGTCTTTTTCAGTTTTCATAACCATAACTATGTCTCATTTTATTTAATATCGGTCTTAATGTCAATCCATGTCTTATTTATGGCTTATTTATGTCTCTCCATGGCTTATTTATTTTTTGTCCCACTTTTTTATTTCTGCCTACTTGTCTCTTCATTTTTTTTAATGTCAACTCTTTTCTCTAGCTCTTAAACGTGTAATTTTTTTTCTTTTCTTAATTTTAATGCTCATTCTTTTCCTATGATTAATATTTATGTCATTGTATTTCTCACGACTTTACATCGTAATAAATTATTATTATCATTATTTCAGGCTATTGCGAACACAACTCCTGATCCAATGGAATGGGCTTCTATGAATTCAAGCGTTTCAACCGGATTTTCAGTACTCCTTTTGATTGTCGCTCTTGTTTTTTGAATTAAACTCATGTGAATATAAACTACTGAAAATTGTTGTTTTCAAGTGTGAAAAATTGAATTTGAACAAATTTTGAAAAAAATACAATGTGTTTATAAAACTATGAAAAATGTTTACAGTATACTTAAATTTCAACAAGTTCAGGGAATCAAGAGCACAGTTATTTATGTTTTTATCAACTCTGAATTTTGTATTTACATAGTTCCAAACATCCGGTTCCTTATCTAGAAAATATACTGAACAAATACACGTGAATGTTTTTGAAAATCAGTTCACACACTTTCCATGTAATAAGAAATTGTCCATAAAATTTCTGAATTGCTCTTCAAGTTGAAAATGTTTTGATATCTTTTCAAAAAAAACCGAGATGGTTGAGTGCATGAACTCCTATTAAAGCAAAACAATTTTCTTGGTGTAACTCCAACAGATCAAAAACTCTCAAGTCATGAAATTTTATCATCAAATGTTTATAACAAAATGCAAAAATCAATGATGACCCAAAAGATAAAAATCACAAGCAATATACTCGAGAGATCAATTAGAGACGTTTTAATAAAGGTGATACATATGTGCAAACCCAACAGTAGTAAATTTGGAAGCATTTTAAAAATTTGAATTTCTCCAAGCTCTTGGAAACAATCAAAATCATCCATCTATTCAAAAACCTTAATTACAGACCGGAAAGACAAAAATTCAGAGGTTAGAAAAAAATCAGCATGCAGGGTAAGTAGGCACAAAAAAGGGTTAGAAGTTGGAAAGGTGTTAGCAATGATTCTGAATTTTTTTCTTCCGAAGTAAATTGAAATTTTTGAAAATAAATAGATAGAAATCAATTGTTCAGCAAGAAAGAGAATTTCTGAAAAAATCCTAACAATAAGAGAAAGATTGGAACCATTCAGGATAAGGAGATGGATTCATGTCTTCAAAGTCTTCTGTTCTTGTATTTGTTGAGTCTTTTTTCAATCTGTCAGTTGTTGGAATGGCATGAGCATCCAGTTCAGCTACAGCTTTGTCACATTCCTTTTGATTTTCCACATGCAATGGAGAATTCTGGAATCCCATTCAATTTTTTAAGGTTCAAAATACCGTAAACCCTCTAATAGAAGGTATCCCGATGCTTGTAATTCGAGCTCAATTATTTCAATTCCTGTAAGAGATATCAAAAATGTGTCAACTGGCAAAATGTTTGTCATAATATCACCAAAAATTTATCAGTGGGCAAATTTTCGATATCTCTTATAGAAATTGAGTTAATTGAGCTCAAATGGTAGCCTTCTATTAGATTGTTTGAAGTGCATACTTACTGATAGTTTTAACAGTGCCTTTCCAATGGCATCGCATTTTTCTCCTTGCACACTGATTGATTTCTGAAAAAAAGTGAACCTCCTGAGATTCTCAAACGATAACGCTACCATAATCATTTTTAAGAAAATACGGTCATCGTATTCTTCAGAAAGACCTTCCAAGTAGTCATACGCATCAGCCAGCGTTTCTTGTCCGCTGTACACCAGCTTAGCAAAAAATCTAATCTCGGCCTACAAAGTTATTAATATAGAACATTCAGGAAAAGAATGAACTTACAAGAATGAACTTGACATCATCAACATCTGCAGGCTTTCGGAACTGAAAAATGATTCGTTAGAAATTAAATGAAACTCTGAACCTCACCTCATTCTGAACATCATAATAATAGTTCGTGATCTTTATCAGAGGCCCTCTGATAGATTTTAAGAAGTCTCCCCATTCTTCTTCTTTCTCCTCAAAACGAAGTCGCATTCGAATACATTGCAACAAGGCCGACAATCTTTGTTGAGATTCTTTTTTCATTTTTAGGAACTCCCTATCCCATTCTTCCTGAAATTTTTTTTGAAATTGTTCTTCTTTGAAACCAACCTGTTGTTCTCTTCTTTTTCTCCTAATTTCTTCGATTTCTTCCTCATGTCTCCTATTTTGTTCTTCCATATGATTATCGAAATCTTGTTTCATTTTTCGAGCTTCTTCAAATTCACTATCACTCGGCGGCTGCTCGTATTTCAAACTATTGTGCCGTTCTTCTCTACAAATTAAAACAAGTTACAGCTTTTTTTAAAGTTAAATAGCTTACTGTTGCTGCTTTAATGTTTCTAATTCTTCCATTCTCTTCTTGTGCTCTTCATCATATTTACGGCATCCGCTCCGTATGGCTTCTAACTGTTTCACGTATTCTTCAACATTTTTTTTGTCTTGTTCTGTATCTGGATCGATAGGGTCTTCTGTTTCAAGTTGTGGGTACGTCGAAGACTCAAACTCATTCCAAATGCTGATCGAAGTTGGAGCAGGTTTGTTATTCTTTACGGTTTCTTTTGGTGGAGTAGAGGGCCTTGGTTCATTGTTTCCGGAAGGATTATGATTCTTTAATCCGTTCTCATGAATCTTCGAAGGCTCTGTATGATTGGGACTTCTTGAAACAGTATCATGGATTACGGCATCCGCTCCGTAGTTGGTATATCCCTGAGGACGCACGTAGTTTCCAGATGTTGATTCGCGTTCTAAGTTTGTCCGATAATCCGGTGGATTTTCCGGATCACTTTCAGGAACTCTGGAATCACTGCATTTTTGAAAAAAAAATAATTGAATGTAAATTTTGATTGACAAAAGCGCTCTATTGGACTTTTTCACTACAGGTCATAACAAACAACATTAATAACTTTCTGTTTAAACAACAAAAAAAATCAACTGATTGTTATCAATGACACTTTTTTAACAAACAGTCAACTGTATTGTAGACACTATCATTTCAGGCGAGCTCATCTGTAAAAACACAAAAAAATCTCACGGTATGTACCCTCGACTTTTTGAGAACTTTTCCCAGCATGTGCAAGGAAAATAGATACATGCCAAGACAAAATTCCGTAGCTTCTTCCAACAAAACATCGGGAACTTGAAGTAACACACAATGATAACACAGATCCACTGGAAACAATACGGGACACGACGATACAACTGAAATTTGTTCAAAAAAATTTCAGGTGGACGGATAGGGCACATCGCAAAGAACAAGGTAAAGAAGGACGTAGAACTTGGGGTCCACTGAAAATAAGAATGATTGTTACACATGATTCAGGTAAAACTAACCACTTCTGGGTCTCTTATCGAGAAAATATTTGATGAATCACTTGATGTATCACTATGACAATAATAATAGAACAAATCGTGAGGCTTTGGACGGACACGGAAGTTTTCAAGGTCCTGAAGAAGAAAATAATAGAAGGAATGGCGAAGAAGAAGAACTCAACTATCTTTGCGTTTCTTATCACTTGGTTTTCTGATAAATTGTAGTCGATTCGATCTTTTCCGACATTAGTGATTACTGGAGCTATAATTGCAATAATATGGAATGGATGGAAGTTCTAAAAAACTCAAAAATTGGGGAACAATTTTTAAAAACTTACAATGTTTGTTAGTGATTCTAAACTCATTTTTTCGATTTTCTGCAAAAACTTTTGGCTGTGTTTCGATTGCAAAAAACTTTCCTCACATGATGCAAAATAAGGCTGTGCAATTTTCGAAGTTTTTCGAATTTTTCATGAGGAAGAGGAATTAAGAGAGACATAACTCAAATAAAAAGATTACTTCCGCTCTTATCGTTTTTAAGTTTTTAAGAGAAATTTTTCAAGACTACACGACTACATTATAGGGAAGAAAATTCAAAAAATAAAAGAAACAGGTGACGAAACTATTGCTGATGCATTCAGTTTTTCAAATGAATTGACATTGAAAGAGAGTGAGAGAGAGAGAGATAGGGGCACGGAAACGGAGAAGTGGGAGATTGATGGTAAACAACACAAATTTACTATTAGCAAGAGTGAGGAAGAAAGTGGGAGAAGAAGGAAGAGAAGATTGAAAAGGTAAGGAAAAGAAAACAATTTTGAAACTTCGAAGTTGAAGAATCCATTCACAGAGACTCCCAACTCAACGCCCTTGTTTAACACTGAAATAAAAACAAAACACATTGAAATGATAATGTTTATTGATGTACAAATACGAGTCACGCTGTTTAAGCAACAACGACCTTGGATGCTCTTCTGCGAGAAGCACTGCGTTGAACAGCCACAGATCTGGCTGGGCATGGGCAGTAAGCAGCATCGGCTCCTGGTTGTCCATCTTGTCCTGGAGCTCCAGCCTCTCCATCTTGTCCTGGCTGTCCTGGTTGTCCGTCTGGTCCTGGTGCTCCTGGAGCTCCAGCCTCTCCTGGACCTCCAGCGGCACCTGGTTGTCCATCTTGTCCGGCTGGTCCGGCTGGTCCTGGTGCTCCGGCGGCTCCTGGGGTTCCAGTAGATCTTTGTCCGTCCTTTCCTGGTGCTCCTGGTTGTCCATCTTGTCCTGGGGCTCCTGGAGCTCCAGCATCTCCGACTGGTCCGGCTGTTCCTGCTGGTCCTGGTTGTCCGGCTGGTCCGTCTTGCCCTGGTTGTCCATCCGGTCCAGCTGGTCCGTCTGGTCCTGGAGCTCCGGCTGGTCCTGGTTCTCCGGCTGGACACTTGATGCAACCTCCAGCTTCAGACGAGACTCCAACAGAGACACCGCTAGCTCCTGGCTTTCCAGCATCTCCTGGATGTCCATCATCTCCTGGAGCTCCTGGAGCTCCTGGTGGTCCTGGTGGTCCAGCTGGGCATCCGGAAGATTGAGCTCCGCAGTTGCATTGTCCGGCTTGTCTCTTAGCACGTCCGAAGAGAATCTCAGATGGAGCACGAGTGCGCTCAACCATTCCATGCCAGGCTCCACGTTCGTTCAGCTGGAAATTATAAAATTGTAAGCAGAAGAAGATCAAATGAATTACCTTGAACTCATCCATAGTTTCCATGGTCTGATCGTAGAACTCATTGATGTCGTTGAAGATGTATCCAACGGTGAAAACGTATCCGAGGATAGCGAGACCGCTCAAGAAGCTAGCGCCGTACACAAGAGTCTTAGCTGACATTGTTAGATGACAGTGATTATGGCATGCCGAACCTTTTCTTATATACCTCACTGTACACCGCGCCGAATGATAGAGTAGTATGTGAGAATGAGAGACAAAAAGATATCTGATGGACTGTTCATTGTGAGAACTGACATAAAAACGTTGTAATGAGGAAGAAAAGGGAAAAGCTTGGGTGATTGCCTTTGTGATTGTTAAAGGCAAAACGGTGTGTGAGAACATTACTGAGAATTGAAAAGAAGTTTTTAGATGAGGTTGTGAAAATGGAGAATGTAATGATGAGGTTTAAGGTTCAAAAAACATATATTTTGATACTGTAGAAATCCATTAAAAAAATAGCATATTCTGAAATTTTCAAAATCTAGTGCTCCGTAAATCAGAAATTCAAGATGACAGTGACTCAGAATTTTCATGAATCAGAAGTTCGGAAGGAAATCTGAAAATCCGAAATTTAGAATATCAGAAATTTGAAAATTGCGACTTGGGAAAATTTGGAGGAGGTTTTTTAACAGAAGTTCAGAAAATCGAAAATTAAAAAATCTAGAAATTCGGATTTTAAGAAATCAGGACCAGAATTTTTTAAATTACTAGAACCGAACCTGACAGACGAACCTGACGAACCTGAGGTTTTCGTCCGTTTTTCGTCAGCTTTTCGTTACCTTTTTCGTCAGTTTTTGTCGTCAGGTTTTCTCGTCGGGTTTTCTTCAGGTTTTTTGTTAGGTTCGACCATGAGATTCGTCCGTGAGGTTCGTTCATGAGTTTCGTCAGGTTCGTCCGTGAGTTACGACCGTGAGGTCCGTCCGTGAGGTTCTTCCATGAGGTTCGTCCGTGAGGTCCGCCCGTGAGGTTCGTCCGTAAGGTTCGTTCATGAGGTTCGTCAGGTTCGTCCGTGAGTGAGGTCCGTCCGTGAGGTCCGTCCCTGAGGTTCGTTCGTGAGGTCCGTCCGTGAGGTTCGTCCGTGAGGTTCGTCAGGTTCGTCCGTCAGGTTTTTCGTCAGGTTTTTTCGTCAGGTTCGACCGCCAAATACTCATTTGCTTGGATATCATTTGCTAGAGTCTCACTTGCTAAAATTGACTCATTTGCTAGCGTGTCTCATCTGCTAGAATTGACTCCTTTGCTAGGAATTTTTCAATTTTCAGAGTCTCACTTGCTAGAGACCGTCTCACTTTCTAGAAGTGTCTCATTTGCTAGAGATTTTTCTCGTTTGCTAGAATTTTGTCCCGCTTTGTACAATTTTTGCGTCCATACTCCGTACATAAAAAGAATGTACTCCAAGGGTAACTCATTTTCAGGGGATCCATAGTCTGAAGGATAAATCTAGGTGGTTGTCCCATCGACCGAATTTTCCAGTGGTATATCGAAATGAATGTCGATGTTTGTCACTGAAACCGAATGATCGGAAGACTTTGTGTAATGGAGTTGTTTACCAACATGTAGAAAAATTCGGAGAAATGAAGAAAATTCAGCGAAACAGCTGAGAACGGACCAATCCGGCTTAAACTTCGGAGAAAATTGGAGAAAATCATAGGGAGCATATCCACAAAAGTTGGGGTCAAAATATCCACTTTGAAAATTTGGCTGGAATTTTAGACAAAATGTTCAAAGTTGATATTTTGAACATTTTGTCTATATGCTCCCTACAATTGTCTCCAATTTTCTCCGACGTTTCAGCCAGATGATTCATTCTTAGCTGTTTCGCGGAATTTTCTCCACTTCTCCGAATTTGAATTGTAAAATACGTTTTTTTTTTGAAAAAAATTACACATCTCAGAATTTTTATGATTAATTTAGGTACTAAAACATTGTCTTCTACCAATTTTTATCAATCGCTATTTTTTCTCAATTTTATCTCATTTCCTCTCTTTTCCCTTTTTCCTCAATTTTCCGTTTTTTTCTCAATTTTCCAAGTTTTTCAATTTTCATGGAATCGATTTCTTTTCTTATTTTTTCATGCTTTTCTAGTTTATTGAATGAAGGAAACATCAAAATTTAAAGATTTTTCTACAAAAATTCAAAAATCCCAAAAATTCGCCCAAAATAAGCTATTTTCTTTCGAAAATTGTTCAAACGGGCAGTAAAACATTGCAAAAATTACTGTCTATTCAATAAAACGTGGGCGCACCGCAGGTTGCAAAGTGACACGCCCCTTTATGAAACGCGTGAGAAGAGAGAGAGAA